TGATTTGCGTGAGTTGATTCTTCAGGAGGCTCAGAGCTCGCGGTACTCCATTCATCTGGGTGCCGCGAAGATGTATCAGGACTTGAGGCAGCATTACTGGTGGAGGAGAATGAAGAAGGACATAGAGGAGTATGTGGCTCGGTGCCTAAATTGTCAGCAGGTGAAGTATGAGCATTAGCGACCGGGTGGGTTACTTCAGAAGCTAGAGATTCCAGAATGGAAATGGGAGCGAATCACTATGGATTTCATTGTTGGGCTCCCATGGACTCAGCGGAGGTTTGATACAGTTTGGGTGATTGTGGATAGGCTGACCAAGTCAGATCATTTCATTCCTGTTATGACTACATATTCTTCCGAGCAACTGGCTCGAATCTACATCCGTGAGATCATCAGGCATCATGGCGTAACAATATCTATCATCTCTGACTGGGGTACGTAGTTTACATCGTGATTCGGGAGGGCCGTACAGCATGAGTTAGGTACTCGAGTAGAGCTGAGCACAGCATTTCACCCTCAGACGGACGGACAGTCCGAGTGCACTATTCAGATATTAGAAGATATGCTCCGTGCTTGTGTAATAGAGTTTGGAGGGTCGTGGGATTAGTTCTTACCACTTGTGGAGTTTGCCTACAACAACAGTTATCAGCCGAGCATCCAGATGGCACTGTATGAGGCTCTGTATGGTAGGCGGTGTCGGTCTCCAATGGGTTGGTTCGAGTCGGGTGAGGCTAGATTATTGGCTACAGACTTGGTTCAAGATGCCCTGGATAAGGTGAAGGTGATTCAGGATCGACTTCGCATAGCCCAGTCCAGACAGAAGAGTTATACGGACCGGAGGGTTCACGATGTAGCATTCATGGTTGGAGAGTGGGTCTTACTTTGGGTATCGCCTATGAAGGGCGTTATGAGGTTCAGGAAGAAGGGTAAGCTGAGCCCAAGGTACATTGGTCCTTTTGAGGTGTTGAGGCGTGTTGGGGAGGTTCCTTATGAGATTGCCTTGCCTCCCAACCTTGTAGGGGTTCATCCGGTATTTCACGTTTCTATGCTCCGGAAGTATCACGGTGATCCGGCTCATGTACTGGATTTCAGCTCAGTCCAGTTGGACAAGGATCTATATTATGTTGAAGAGCCAGTGGCTATTTTGGACAGGCAGGTCAGAAAGCTAAGGTCAAAGAACATTGCTTCCGTGAAGGTGTAGTGGAGGGGTCAGCTGGTCGAGGAGGTGACATGGGAGACTGAGCAGGATATGAGTAGTCGTTATCCTCATCTTTTCATAGCTTCAGGTATGTCTCTATACTCGTTCGAAGACGAACAATTTTTTTAAGAAGGGGAGGATGTGACGATCGGGCCGGTCGTCTTGAGAGTTATATCCCCGATCCCCTATTAACTGTTTTCCTTGTATCCTTTTCAGCTATTGTGACTTGCCGGGAGGTTTCGTTTTGGTTTTTGGAGTGTTTTTGGACACTTAGTCCCTAAATGGAGGCTTAAGTTATAGGATTTGGACTGTAGTCGGAATTATGTGAAGACGACTCTGGAATGGAGTTATGTCGATTCCGTTAGCTTCGTTAGGTGATTTTTGACTTAGGGGCGTGTCTGGATAGTGGTTTGGAGGTCTGTAGCTCATTTAGGCTTGAAATGGTTAAAGTCGAAGTTTTGGAGACTTGGACCAGTAGTGGAATTTTGATACCGGAGTCGGATTACGATTTTGGAAGTTGGAATAGGTCCGTAGGGTTGAATATGACCTGTGTGCAAAATGTGGGGTCAATCGAACATGGTTTGGTTGGTTTCGGCATCGGTTGTCGGATTTGGAAGTTTCAAGTTCTTTAAGTTTGAATTAGAGGGCAATTCATGATTTTAGCGTTGTTTGATGTGGTTTGAGGGGTTGACTAAGTTCGTATGGTGTTTTAGTATTGGTTGGTATGTTTGGTTGAGGTCCCGGGGGCCTCAGGTTGATTTTGGATGATTAACGGATCATTTTGGACTTGTGGAAGATAGCAAACTTTCTGGTCTTTTGTTGCTGACTTTTTCTTCATCGCGATCGCGAGAGAGTTCTCACAATCGCGTAAGGCATCTGAGAGGCCAGCTAAAGTTTTTCTTCACGTTCGCAAATATGGGGATGTGACTGCGTAGGTTGGTCAGGTTGTGCATCGTGAACGCGTGGGCTAGGCCGCGTTCGCAAAGAGGAAGTAAAGCAGCAGTGGAATTCAAGTGTTGTTCTTTGCGAACGCGTTGGGTTGTTCGCGATCGCGTAAGTATGAGAGCCTATGAATCGCGTTAGCATTGAGTTTTCCGCGTTCGCGTAGGGTTAAATTCTTCGGCAGCGAAATTGTCCTTCGCGATCGCGAGGCTATTACCGCGATCGCGATTAAGGAATCACTGGGCAGTATTAAATATTTCAAAAATGAGGGTTTGGCCATTTTTATCAACACTTGAGTGTGGGAGCTCGGATTTGGACGAGATTTTGGGAGATTTTCAGAGACATCGATTGGGTAATAATTCTACACTCTATTTTGGTTATATCCCACTAATCTATCATTAATATCATCTTTAATTTCGGATTTTGGGGTTGAAATTTGGGAAAATTTGGGAGAAGTTCTTTAACTAAGATTTCTAGTGTTGAAAGGGGATTCGTGGCCGGATTTGAGTAATTTTTATATGGTAGGAATTGTGAGTGAATAGGAGTTCATATTTTGTGACTTTTACCCGATTCCGAGACATGGGCCCGGGGAGGCTTTTTGGGGCGATTTCCTAATTTCTCGCTTTAGATTAGATTTCATTGACTAGATTAGTTTTTTATAGCTATATTTATGGTATGTAATTGATTTTGGCTATATTTGGGCCATTCGGAGCCGGATATTCGTGGGAAGAGCATTGTTACCGATTGATTTAGCTTGGTTCGAGGTAAGTGTCTTGCCTAACCTTGTGTGGGGGAAATCCCCTTAGGATTTGGTACGGATTTTACTATGTGAGCACCGTGTATGCGAGGTGATGAGTGCGTACACGGGCTATTTGTTGAAAACCTAATATTTACTGAGAAATTCGTTGTTTCCACCTTAATTGAATATACTAGCATGCGTAGTTACCCTGTTAGCTTAGAATAACATGTCTGCGTGCCTTATTTGCTTAATTGAACTCTTTGTAGCATGCCTATTGAATTCCTGCTTCTTTCCCAACTTGTACTTAGTCTAGACTATAGATTCTCTTATTGTACTTGTCGTTTGTAATTGATTGCGATGTGTATTTACTTTGGGACTACGGGACGGTATCTCGGGTGTTCACCCTGCATATTTACTTTTGGGACTACGAGACGGTATCCCGTGAGATCCCCATGCATATTTACTTTTGGGATTACGGGACGGTATCCCTTTACACATTTACTTTGAGACTACGAGGCGGTACCTCAAGAGTTCTCCCTGCATATTTACTTTTGGTACTACAAGACGGTATCTCGGGAGATCCCATGTCGCTTAATTCCGTGCACTGATATGTTACTTCATTGTGCTTTCCTTTGTTGAACTTTAGTCTCTTATTATACTACTCATTCTCCTATTTTTATTATTTTATACTAGTGGGCCTGACCAGACCTCGTCACTACTCGGCCGAGTTTAGGCTCGGCACTTACTTGGTACCGCTGTGGTGTACTCACGCCCTTTCATGCACATGTTTTTCGTGTGCAGTTCTAGGTTCCTTTTATCAGCCTCGTCCTTAGTTGAAGTCGTTGCTATTTTGGAGAACTTCAAGGTATATCTGCCCGCGCCCGCAGATCCTCGGAGTCCCCATCTATCCCCCTATGTTAATTCTTCTCTTATTTTTATAGACATTGACGTATAGAACAATTAGAACTTTGTAGAAGCTTGTGACTTAGGGTGTTCCGGGTCTTGGGGGTGTTATGTATATTTCGAGAGTTGATTATTGTATATGTCGAGCGGCATCTCAATTGCTTATTAAAATATCTATTACTGTTAGTTGTTAATTTTCATGTTTTTCATCACATTTCCGCAAGTGTTAGGCTTACCTAGTCGTAGAGACTAGGTGCTGTCACGACGATTCACAGAGGGAGAATCTGGGTCGTGACAAGAGGATTGTGAATGGAGATTTAAGGCTTCTAGCATTAACAAGTCACAAATGTTCAAAGTGAGGGAGTTCAATGATAAGCAACATCAAGCAAGTAGTAGCTTTATTGGTGGTATGATTAGGTCCAAGTTTACTAATCATAAGAGGAAATACACCCCAAAGTATATAATTGATGATGTGAAATTAGACTTTGGTGTATATGTTAGTTATATGTTGGCGTGGAGGGCTAAAAAAAAGACAATGAATTTTTTGAGAGATGAACCAACTGATTCATACAATAAATTACCAGGGTACTTATATACACTGGATATGACATATCCTGGTTCACATATTACAATGGTAAAATCACCAAAAATGAGTTCATGTATTTGTATATATCGTTGTATGCTTTTATAAAGGGGTTCGATCACTGTAGACCCATCGTGGTTGTGGATACGAACCACCGAAAATCGGCATACACAAGGACATTCGTCTCGGCTAGCACGTTGGATGGTGCAGGTGAGTCTGTTAAAAATATATATATACAAATTATAATAAAATTTGTTAAGTTTACTGCCTAATACAGATTCAATGATATTTTTGTTATATGTATGCAATTGTATTTATAGGACATATAATGTCACTAGCATATGGTGTTGTTGATTCAGAGAACGATGCTGCTTGGTCGTGATTCTTTGAGCAATTCAAGGAAGCATATGGTGAGAGGAAAAATATGTGCATCGTTTCAGATAGGAATGAGAGCATCATCAAATCTGTATCGAGAGTGTATTCTGTTCCGGAGACTAAGTGCCATCACGACGTCTGTGGTAGGATTTTGGGTCGTGACACTACGGTATCCCATTTTTCTTGAATATGGCATCTATGGAACAACGCATATAAGAAATTCAAAAAAGAGTCATTCAAAGTTGAGCGCGATATACTTCTCGATGGCAAAAGCATACACTCAGGATGAATTTGATAGTCTAATGGAAATGGTAGATAAGGTAGATATTCGGGTGAAAGAATACTTTGATTTAGCTGGATACGAAAAGTGGGCTAGGATGTCTGCACATGTTAACCGGGGATGGACTATGACATCAAATATTGCTGAATCAATCAATGTCGCACTTGTATCAGCAAGAGAATTGCCAATATACGACTTCCTAGAAGAAGTTAGGAAGATGTATGGACGTTGGAATTGCAGCAATCGGAAAGAAGCTTCACACACATACATAATGCTTGGGAAAAAATACCAGGAGATTCTTACTTTGAATGAGGCAATGTCTACACGTATGACTGTAAGTTTATTTTTGCTGTAAGTCCTTGCATCATGTATTTATTCCTGGTATAACATGTATTTATTTCTGATATAATTTCTACTAGTAACATACTACATGCTCATTATATTATAGCACTTGTGCATGTATTCTGTTTTATAATACGGTTTTAAACACTGGTTATTATATGTATACATTACTTGTTAATACATTTGCATTTCATTGGTTGTATTCAATGGCTTTGTTTCTGAATTGACTGTGTTTTAATGTATTTCAATGTATTCCTCAGTTAAATGTATTGACCTTTAATAGTATGTCAGTTAAAATATTGTTTGTAGTTGGTGTATTTAAATGTATTTTCATTTTAGTGAGTGTATTGTAATGTATTTTCATTTTATTGTCTGTTAAAATATTTGTTTGTAGTCTGTCATATTGTCTGTATTTTAATGTATTTTCATTTTATATAAGTATATTGTATGTCATTATATTTCATACATACATATATTATATTGAATATTCTGACAGATTAAAATTTGTTGACATGCTGCATATTTAAACTTTTTTTATTGTATACATGTATACTGTATTTAATACGTCTATTCTTTGAGAGATACATGACTTTTACAAATGTCCAAAACTTATATTTCTCTATTTAATGTAGGTTGTACCATCGACTGAAACACTTGCATATGGTGAATGATGAAGGAAGGCATTACACTGTTTGCCTCCTAGAGAAAAAGTGCAGTTGTGGGCGGTTCCAAGTTGACGAATTACCATGCCCACATGCTTGGGTTGTCTTGAAAAGCAAGTTTCTAGTGCCAGAAGATTATTGCTCGGATTATTATAAACCAAAGTCTGTTGTAATGACATACGAGGTGCCTGTGTATCCGCTGCCTGACCGAATTGAATGGAATATACCAGCATGTATATCAAAGGAAGTAGTCTTACCACCCAAATGGAAAAGACCTCCTAGAAGGCCAAAGAAGAAGCGCGATAAGCTGTTCAGTGAATTGTTGCAGAAGAAAAATCAACATTTGTGTAGTATATATGGGCAGGGAAGACATAATAAGCGTACTTGTAGAAATGCTCCACGTGATTAGTTCATGTTCTGATTTCAATTACTGCAATAACGATATGTCATAGATTTCTTCAAGTTTTATATTACATATTGATTTATTGGTGTATTGAATTCTTACGTGATGAATTTTTTTAGTACAAATTACTAAACATATTTTTTAGTGGTATTCTTACAAATAGATTTATATATAGATATGAAGTATAGCAGGTCATCTGTAGTGCAAAACATATGAATACATACTGCATATACATTTGAATACATATATACATCTGAATATATAAATTATATTAATTAAAAAAATATATGAATACATTCTACAATACATTGAATACATACTGCTGAATATATACTGCTAGACAAAACAGTGAAACAAAGTGAAGCTTTTGGAATCTGGTCCTGATCTGGGACAACTGGTAGATCTGCAGGTACTGCCCCAGCTATTGTACGGGTTGCACCTCTACCCATACCACGGCCTCGGCCTCTTGTGGCCCTGGCTGGCGGTACTGGTGGCTGGCCCTCCTAACCGGTAGTACGAGTCCTCACCATCTGTGAGAGTATGAAACAACAGGTGTTTAATTACCAGAATAAACAGATTCACATGACAAGAATCCAAGAATGTGAAATTTTCCTAAGGGTTCTGCAGCCTCTCGAAGATAAGCACAGACGTCTCCGTACCGATCCGCAAGACTCTACTAAACCCGCTCATGACTCGTGAGACCTATGTAACCTAGGCTCTGATTCCAACTTGTCACGACCCAAACTACCCCTGTCGTGATAGCACCTATCGAGGAACTAGGAAAGCCGACTCATTTTCAAACAAACTGATATTTTCATTTCAAAGAAAAATTTCAAGGCTATTTAACATAAAAAAGCTTCGTAAAGGAGTTCAAATCAAAACAAAAGTGCGGAAAATAAAAGCCCGACATCGGGGTGTCACTAGTCATGAGCATCTACTATAATTTGTCTGACAATATCGAGACTAACATAGTCTGGAAAATAGCTAGTTACAACTAAAGGAAGATAAGAGGGAGAAGAGCAGGGTTGCGATAGCTAGTTGCTATCCCCGAGAAAAACTGCAACCGGAATAGTCAACAGCCGCTACCGTATCCAGCTACACCTGGATATGCACACAAGGTGCAGGGAGTAACGTGAGTACGCCAACTCAGTAAACAACAACAATAAATAAAGACTGAGAAGTAGTGACGAGCAGTAATGTAAGTAAAGTTCATATCACAAAAATTCAGTAAAATCCAGCATGCTTTTAAAACCAGGGTTTGGATCAAATCAGCTCTTTTAAATTCAGTTCCAGTAAAATCATTTAAAAATATTTTTCCAACAGATTCAAACAGAGGCTCAATGCAAAGGTGAACAAAAATGATGAAATCATAAACAGCCCCTCGGGCAGACCTCATAATCACTCGTAAATAGCCCCTCAGGCATACCTCACCATCACTCATGCCTCCCAGTCACTCAGCACTCGGCACTCGGCACTCGCACTCAATAGGTACCTGCGCTCACTGGGGTGTGTACAGACTCCGGAGGGGCTCCTTTAGCCCAAGCGCTATATCAAGTCAAATCATGGCATAAATCAATCAAGCCCTCGGCCTATATCAAAGATGTTGCGGCGTGCAGCCTGATCCCATAAATATCCTCACAAATCAGGCCCTCGGCCTCACTCAATCGTAAACCTCTCAAGCCACTCGGGCTCTCAGTAAAACAAGGTATTCATCCCAAAACAACATTTATATGCATCAAAACAAAGTAATAAAAACTGAGTTATGCAGTAAACATGTATAACTATGACTGAGTATAGATTTTCAATCGAAAACAGTGAGAGTATAGTAAGAAAAGGTCCCTAAGGGTCCAAATAGCACTGGCACAAGGCCCAAACATGGCATTCAACCCAATTTACAGAAACTCTTTCTAAAACACATAAGTATCATATAGTTTCAACAAAATATGCAACTTTACAGTGTCTACGTGACGGACCAAGTCACAATCCCCAACAGTGCATGCTCACACGCCCGTCACCTAGCATGTGTGTCACCTCAAAATAGTAAATGATACGAAATCCGGGATTTCATATCCTCAGGACTAGATTTACAATCGTTACTTACCTAAAACCGGTCAAATCCCTACTCCGCGATGCTCTTTCCCCTCGATTCGGCCTCTAAATGCTCCGAATCTATTCACAATCAGTACAATACCATCAATTTATGATAAATAAATAAATTCCATAAGCAAAACTACCAATTTAAACCAAAAGCCCGAAATTGGCTCAAACCCGCCCCCCGGGCTCACGTCTCAAAACCGGACAAAAATTACAAAACTAGAAAGCTCATCCACTCACGAGTCCAACCATACCAAATTTATCAAAATCCGACCTCATTTGGTCCCTCAAATCCCCAAATCAAACTCTCCAAAAATCCCAAGCCCTAACCCCTCATTTTCACCCCCAATTTCCACTAATTACATGATTAAACTACGGGAAATCACCATATATATGAGTATTAGGGCTCAAGCAACTTACCTCACTTATATCCCCTTGAATCCTTCTTCAAAATCACTCCCAAAAGCTTCAAAACCGACTGAATATGGTGAAGAATGGACCAAAATTTGCGAAGTGTGCAATTTATACTTTCTGCCCAGGCTTTCCGCAGTCGCGGCCTATTTTCCGCGCATGCGGGACCGCACCTACGTTCAAGATCCTCGCACCTGCGAGAATCACTTAAACTCTCAGCCTTCGCACCTGCGCCCAGGTCTCGCACCTGAGGGCTCGCAGATGCAGCCAAGCCTTCGCACCTGCGCTCTAGCCTTAACCTCCAATTTTCGCATCTGCGCTCCAAATCTCGCACCTGCGGAAGTGCACCTGCGCATCTCCCTTCGCTTCTGCGAAACCTGCCCAAATCCCCTTCTTCGCATCTGCGTTCTAGGTCTCGCACCTGCGGGCTCATAAATGCGACCACTATCTCGCACCTGCCCATCATGCCTAGCCCAGAAATTACTGCACCTGCGAACTCCCACGTGCACCTGCGACCTCGCACCCGTGACTCCACTTCCGCAGGTGAAGAAACACCACCAGAATTCACACCAGCAGCTCTCAAACACCAAAAACCAATTCGTCGACCATCCGAAACATAACCGATGCCCTCGGAACCTCAACCAAAAATACCAACAAGTCATATATCAACATACAAACTTAGTCGATCCTCCGAATCACTCAGAACAACGTCAAAACACTAAATTAACCTCGGATTCAAGCCTAAGAATTTCTTAACTTCCAAATTCCGCAAACGACGCCAAAACCTACCAAACCACGTCTGAATTACCTCAAATGTTTCACACACATCACAAATGACACTACGAACCCACTCCAACTTCTGGAATTCCATTCCGACTCCGATATCAAATTTTCCACTGCCGACCGAAAATTGCCAAATTTCCAATTTTGCCAATTCAAGCCTAATTCCATTACTGACCTCCAAATCACATTCCGGACGCACTCCTAAGTCCAAAATCACCTAACGGAGCTAACTGAACAATAAGAATTCAAATACGAGATCGTTTACACATAGGTCAACATCCAGTTGACGTTTGTCTACTTTAGAGACTAAGTGTCTCAATCCACTCTGAAACCACTCCGGACCCGAACCAACTAACTCGGTATATCATAATATAGCTGAAAAGCACAAAGGAAGCAGAAATGGGGGAAACAGGGCTATAACTCTCGAAACGACCGGTCGGGTCGTTATATCCTCCCACTCTTAAACAACCGCTCGTCCTCAAACGGGTCTAGAAGCATACCTGGAGTCTCGAATAGGTGTGCATATCTGATCCGCATCTCCCGCTCGGTCTCCCAGGTGGCCTCCTCCATAAGCTGCCCTCTTCACTGCACCTTCACTGAAGCTATGTTCTTTGACCTCAACCTTTAAACCTGCCGATCCAAAATAGCCACTGGCTCCACATCATAAGTCATATCACCCTCCAACTGAACCGTGCTGAAATCCAAAACATGGGACGGATCTCTAATATACTTCTGGAGCATGAAAACATGAAACATTGGGTGCACACTCGACAAGCTAGGTGGCAAGGCAAGCTTATAAGCCACCTCCCTTATCCTCTGAAGCACCTTAAAAGGCCCAATGAACCGGGGCCTTAACTTGACTCTCTTCCCAAACCTCATAACACCCCTCATGGGTGATACCTTCAGCAAAACCTTCTCCCAACCATGAAAGATACATCACGGACCTTCCTGTCCGCAAGGTTTTTCTACCTAGATTGCGTCGTGCGAAGATGCTCCTGAATTAATTTCACCTTATCTAATGCATCCTGGACCAAGTCTGTACCCAAGATCCTAGCCTCACCTGGCTCAAACCATCCAACCGAGGATCTACACCTCCTCCCATATAAAGCCTCGTACGGAGCCATCTGAATACTCGACTGATAACTGTTGTTATATGCAAACTCCGTGAGCGGCAAGAACTGGTCCCATGAACCCCCAAAGTCAATGACACACGCGCACAACATGTCCTACAATATCTGAATAGTGCGCTCGGACTGCCTGTTCATTTGAGGGTGAAAAGATATGCTCAACTCAACCTTAGTACCCAACTCTCGCTGCATGGCCCTCCAAAACTGCGATGTAAATTGAGTCCCCCTATCGAAAATGATGGAAACTGGGACACCATGCATGCGAACAATCTCTCGGATGTAAATCTCAGCTAACCGCTCTGAAGAGTATGTAGTACCTACTAGAATGAAGTGCGCGGACTTGGTCAGCCGATCCACAATAACCCAAATAGCATCGAACTTCCTCGAAGTCTGTGGGAGCCCAACTACGAAGTCCATGGTGATCCGCTCCCACTTCCACTCTGGGATCTCTAACCTCTGAAGCAAGCCACCCGGTCTCTTATGTTCATACTTAACTTACTGACAGTTGAGACACCGAGCTACAAACCCCACTATATCCTTTTTCATCCGCTTCCACCAATAGTGCTGCCTCAAATCCTAGTACATCTTCGC